ATACTTTGAAAAAATTGGACATGGATTAGATTGAGGAGGTATTAATTAAATACACTATTACCAGTAAACAATATATTAACTGTTAATAATATTATTTATAAATTTCTAATAATTTATACATATATATATATATATATATATATATATATATATATATATATATATATATATATATATATATATATATATATATATATATATATAATGTATGAATAAACTTTATTTTATATAAATATTATACATGTGTATGCATAAACACACACATACACACATAATTATAAAAACACACATACACATATATAAATATATACATATATAATATACACATATTTAATATACACATAATTTTAATAACACTAACAGATGGTATATTTAATCCACCAAGATTTTTTAAATTTATAAAAGATAAAGATGATGATTTGTAAAAGACTGTGTACTCATGATCACGAACTAAATTATCTGGTTGGTTAAGTGCTTCAGCACATATGCAACAAGTTATTTTCTTTTTAAGAGTTTTAACAATGTAACCAGCTATATAACCAAGTATTGCTTGTTTGTATATCAATGTTGAAATCTTTTCTAGGCTGTTTGATAAGTTTGCAATTATATTTTTATCTTCATCTTTTAATTCTGTTTCTATCATTGGAGATCTTGTTTTACTCCATTTCAATGAAAATATTGAACCAGCTGAATTTTTTTCAAAAGTGAGACAATTTGCATGCTTTGAACCAATCAAAAAGTTTCTTAAAAGAATTTTTTTAAAGCTTGACTTTAATTGTATAATATTAGGATTATTATTAAATCCATTTTTTCCCCTAATACAAGCAAACAACAGTTCTAAGTGATCTTGAGACACTTTATAGGTCAACACATATTTGAATGAACATTCGGATCTTGATAGTAAATTTATAGACATATTTTGGATACTAGTTGCAGCGACAATGAAACCAATAGCAAACGTTTTTCTTCTATGTTTAAGAATTTTAGTCCCATCTTTATCAGTTAGGCTGGCCAGATATTTAATTGTTTTTTCAATAACACTAAACCAATGGACTTTGTCATTAAGAAATAAGGGTTTTTTCAAACCTTTGCCGAATGGACTTCTTGAATTAAGTAAATCAAAAAGTTGATTAATTGTTCTTATAAAATCTAATGTTCCTTGAGCATCATGAAAAGAGGGATGACCAGATAGCATTAAAAATTCAATAGCATCTGCTACAGAATTACTTAGTGTTTGGGCAGCTATTTTTACATTCATTTTATGCCTATGAAAATTAATATGGCTATTTCCTATTTTATTAGCAAACTTTAGTCCAATGTCTTCTTGCAAATTTTGCAGAATTGTGATGTGCTCCCACTTTACAAATCTTTTTTGACTATCAATAAATACACCAAGATCACATAGCGCATTTCGTGCAAGTTTTAGCATATGGCAAGGATCAGGAATAAAATGAATATTTTTATTATAAGACTCAATATTAAAAAAAGTTTTCATATTTTCAGGTTTATCAAACGAACAGCCAAGACTTTTCATGGCACTAAAATTAGAAAAAACACCATCACAAGTTACGCTGTGAACATCTATACCATGCTGAACACATAAATTAACTGCGTTAGTTATAAGACAAACCAAGTTTGTTGTTGAAATCTTTTCACATAAAACATAACCGATAGGACATTTCCAATGCCCTCGAAGTCCAACAAGCATAAAGACAAGAGCCTCAGTAGCTATACTATTTGGATCAAAAGCAGATATATTGTTTCCATAATCTGAAAAACCTTCATAGTTACCATTACTTGGATTATAAACAAGACCTGATTTTATATGCATAGAATCAAAGATCAATGCACAATCTTTATATGTAACATCTTCTAATCCCTTTTGTTGTAAGTAAGAAAAGACATCTTTAAAAAATCCAGGTGAACAATCAATAGATGAGGACCAATTCAATAAAGAACTTATACAAGGCAAAGCAAACAATGAGCTGACAAAAGTATAGGCACGAGGTGAATAAAAATGAAGTGTCAAGGCAAATTTCTTTACTTCTTCTGAATATCGGTGACCTCTAGGATCTTTGCATTTATTGACTAGTTCAGATTTAAATAAATCACGAACAAGACCAGAAAAGCTATTATCAAGAAATTGAGCTGTATCAGCTGATATAAGCTTGTCATTCTCAAGTTTTTTAATAATTTCTGTCATTGTATTTATTTTCAATTCTTTCCTTCTAAGCTTTTGTTTAAGAGTCTTAATTTTTCTTTTAAGCTTGACTTTAGATGGAGAGTCGACTTTATTATTTGGATTTTCAATAGTAAAATCTACACTAGTTAAAATATGATTCTTAGAGGAACATGGCAACGAAAGAGATATCTTTTTTTCATTAATAGTTTCGAATGTCTCAGTTACATTCCTGGAAACATATTTTCTTTTGATGGGCTTTTTAGAATGCATTTTCGCCGGGAAATTAAAGATAGATGGTACAACATTTGCTTTTAAACGAGGTTTATTTGCATTTTCATAATTGTAATCTTCTTTATGAAAGTGAACACTACATATATAACTATATTTTGTAGGAACAAATGAATCACGTTTTGTTGCCACAACCCATTTTTGGCATAGCTCGCTATTATTTAAAGGGAATTTATGAAACGATATCGCAACACCTTTGTTAAATCGGTTCACACAACCATAAGCAGAGCACGATATAACCATTTCTTTAGTAATAAAAGTAAAATTTTAAAAAATATTATAATTTTTTTTTTGCGTGTTTTGCCAGTATTCAAGATGGCTTCCAAAAAACAAATTTGCCTCACAACCGCGGCTCGAGTTAGATATCTAGTTAATATATATCATTGGTTATTTCAAACTTCAAAACATCCTGTATCCGCCCCTGAATTACGTTACGCATTTTTTGACCCCCTATCCCGTCGTCACAAATTCGTAACACTTAAAAAGCAAGTTTTGTATGAGTCGTCACAACACTACCAACCCCTCCCTCCCCCTTATAGCGTGACGTAATTTATGGACGACCCCTTAGGTAACTATGCAGAACAAAGCGGTGAAGCTGTTCATCACAAATTTAAAAAAACTTGGATGAATTATAAAAGAACTATTCGACACAATAATTACGCCGAAGTCTGCTCTAGCGAATTTCAATTTAAAACAAACAATAGTGAAAATATCAGATGTGTTTTAAATGTATTTATTGTTGTTTTATTGTATAATAGATTAATTTTATTGGACTTTCGTAAATACCATAATGGCTGACTTAAATTGAATTTTTCAAGAAATTTACATACTTAGCACTTAGTTCAGATTTTTTTGGCAATATAAATTGTATTCACTATTGCATGATTGATTTAATTCAAAAAAATTGGGAGTGGGGAGAGTTTCAACCTGGTGGTCAATTCGGAGAACAGTGCACGTAATTCGGATAAAAATTGAAAGATGCATAAAAATACATGCAAGCTTTTTGTTTGAAGATGTTTTGCAAAATACTTATCTTTTTAGGACCCCGTTTTGTGCGATGATTGTATTCACATATTTGGTACCAGTACTAACTTGTGATGAGATTTATTTAAATTTGAAAAAAGAATAGTAATTTAAATATTTTTAGAAAAATATAAATACGGTAATATATTTTATACTTGAATTTTGCATGTTTTTAGTGTAAATCAGTTGTAATTGTAAATACGAATGGAGTCAGACCAGATTATAAGCTTAATATAATAGTACAATACATTTTCTAAAATCTAAAAATAAATGCAATAGGAAAATTGTTCTTTATAAGACCACAAAATGTGTTTTAAACTTTTTAATTTTTTTTTTTTAAAATACTTAAAGAATTAACGCAAGGAAGGGAGGGGGATAAAGAGACAAAAGTACAATTCTGAAAGTGTTTCATGAAAATTTATATAATTCAAACTTTTAGAAAGCAGCATATGATCATCTGAAAAAAAAAAAAAAAAAAAATTACTATAAGAACACATTAAATTAACCTGTCTTTACACTCACGACTAACTATTTTAAAATTAAAATAAAACCACAAAACAGCTCATAACAATATAGAATAATCACAAGTGTTCATCTTCGGGAAAATTTTTAATCATTGCTGCTTTTAAATGACATAATTAAAATACAGTTGACCCTCGATATCTCGAACTTTATTTCTGGTCCTGTGCATACTTAAAATCCTTTTGATACCTCAAACATTTTTTCCAGGTCCTCTGAGAGTTCGAGATATCGAGAGTCAACTGTACATATAAAATAACAAAAATACAAACTGCAAAACAGCTCAGAACAATATGGTAATCACAATGATCATTATCGGGAAAAAAAATTCATCACTGCTGTCTTTTAACTGCACAATAACAATACTTTAATAATAGCTAACCTTAATCTTCGTGCTTCTCTTTCACTCTCTAATAAAGTTAGTACATCTCCTTCACGAACTGGTCCTCTGACATTACGTATGATGCTTCTATTGGTATCATCTAGAAATTCTACTCGAACCTATGTACATATAACAACCAAAAATATATATATAAATAAATATATGTAAATAAATATATATAAATATATGTAAATAAATATATATAAATATAAACAAATATATATATATATATATATATATATATATATATATATACATATATATATATATATATATATATATATATATATATACACACATATATAAATAAATATATAAAACTTTAACTACAAAAAGCTCAGACAGACAATTGATTAAAAATCACTACTTAATCATTGAGGATTTTTCATCATCGCTTTTAGTGTTAATAGAAGTTTTGAAAACTTCACTATTTGAAAAAGGTTATCAAATTAATTTTATTAATTTAAATATTAAAATGTGATCATAATCTTCCTAAATATCAACATTTATATGCATGTTATAAGAAAAAAAATTTACATGTCTAAAATTGAATTACAAAATGTAAATAAAATAATGATGATTTAAAATGCTATTAAAAACTTTATTACTATTAAAAAAGAAGCTCAGACAGACAATTGAATAAACAATCATATTAGATCATGCTAGTTTGCTCATCATTGCTTTTAAATAATTTTTTATCTAAATATACAAAGACAACATTTTTCACAAATAAAAACAACATTTTTTAAAATTTATTTTAAACTTATTCAATATCATAAAAACCCTGTTGTTTTACAAGCATACGCATCAAAAAACTTGATTGTTTCAGATGATGTAGCAGGTTTAATTTGATTAAACATTGTCAAAAAGTGACGCTGAGATACTTTAACACAATCAAAATCTTCTCTTAATCCAAACATTGCAGCTTCACGGCATATAGAACATATTTCTGCACCAGAATATCCAGAAGAAAGTTCGACAAGAACATTAATATCAACATCATTTGCAACAGGGATTGATCTAAACTGAATACTTAATATTTCTCTGCGACTTTCACTATTTGGCAAGGGTACATATATTAATCTATCTATTCTACCAGGACGTAATAAGGCAGGATCAATAACATCAGGCCTGTTAGTTGCTGCAACTATTACAACACCATCCAAGGATTCAACACCATCTAACTCAGTCAAAATTTGAGCTAAAACCCTATCTCCAACAACAGAATTAGAATTAGAAGAACGCTGTATACTAAGTGCATCAATCTCATCAAAAAAAATTATAGAAGGAGCAGCATTTCTTGCTTTACGAAACACTTCTCTGACAGCTTTTTCAGATTCTCCAAGGTATTTATTAAAGAGTTCAGGTCCTTTGATTGAAATAAAGTTTAAACCACTTTCAGTTGCTAAAGCTTTTGCCATCAATGTTTTTGAACAACCTGGAGGTCCATACATTAGCAATCCACGAGGAGGAGAAATACCTAACCTTTTAAATACTTCAGGGTGATTTAATGGCCACTCGATTGCTTCTCTTAGCTTTTGCTTTACTTCACTTTGACCGCCAACATCTGTCCAATAAACTTTAGGCACATCAACAGTTAAAGCTTTCATGGCACTTGGTCCAATTTTAGAAAGAGCAACTTTAAAGTCATTAAGTGATAATGAAAAATTAACTGAATTCCTATCAGGCAAACATTTGCTATCAAGAAGTAGACGTTTCATTGATATCATTCCTGCTTCTTTACATAATGCCTTTAAATCTGAGCCAACATAGCCATGTGTTAAAGAGGCTAGTTCCTGAATACTTTTGTCACCCATCTTATGTTTGAAGTTAGCGATAAGCTTTTTGAGTATATTAAAACGTTGCTGTACATTTGGAACACCTACTTCAATGTCTTGATCGAATCTACCAGGTCTTCTCAAAGACAGTTCAACACCTTCTAAATTGTTGGTAATTGCAAATACAACAAATAAGTCATTAGCAGGGATATTATCCATTAAGGTTAAAAGTGTAGATATAATTCGCTTCTCAGATTCATTTTGTGACAAGTTTTGAGAAGGACACAATATATCAAATTCATCTATTATGAGAATAGATGGGACCTGACTGAGTGCACTCATAAATATTTTTTTTAAATTCTGTTCAGACTCACCATAATATTTACTTATTATTTCAGGACCACTAATTTTAGTCAAGCTTACTCCACTTAGCTCATTTACAAAAGCATTTGCCAAGTGAGTTTTACCAGTACCACTTGGACCATAGAAAATGATTCCATGTGTTAAATTAATGCCACACTCTTTATACAGTAAGGAATTTTCAAATGGAAGCTGCACTAGCTCCTCCAATAATTTTACCTGAACATCTACACCACCCATATCACTTAACTTAAAAAAATGCCCTGAATTTAAATTGCTCTTAACACTTAATTCATCCTCAATATCTAGTTTTAAAACAGTTTCTTTATTTAAACAATAAGCAACATATTTAGAAGGAGATGACTTTGTAGGTGTAAACAACTCTTTACTTCCAGCTAAAGATAAAGTTGCAATGTTATCAATAACTTTTTCATACTGAGTTCTAAAATCACACATTATTTCAACAACAATAAAGGATAATTCACTCTCATAGAATGGACAAAAAACAATATCTCCTTTTGTAACTATGCTATCATCTAATTTATTCATCAGTAGATCATACACATTAACAAAATTATTTTTAGATAAAATATCTCTTGGTTTAAATAAAATTGTAGATGCTAATACCGAATGAGAATCATTTTTTGATATAGTAACTAATTCATTTTCTGCAATAGCCAATGTACTCATATGAGATTTACTAAGAAATATAGAATCAATTACAACTGCGCTTGAAGTCCAAATGGTACCATAAGTTTCTTTTCCCTGGTAACATATCAAAACAGAACAAGCTATAGGCAAATTGCAACATTTTAATGTGGCAGGGTTGACTAAAACCAAATCTGATTTAAAATATGTTATTTTTTCATCAACAAGTGTTTCCAAATTTTTCGCAAAACCACTAAATATTCCATCTTTAATATAAGCAGTTCTCACAAACAATTCAGATAATCTTGAAGTGTCCAATGAGTCAATACTGTCATCAGAACAACTTTGTTGGTGTTTTCCAACAATATATTTTGTAAAGTAAAGATTGCAGTATTTACATAATACCCACTCAGGCTTTTCAGGTTTTCGACCACTCATTTCAGGTTTCGATTCAGCACTAGAGAAAACAATATTGAAAAGATGAGCATTAAAACTGAGCTACACAAAATGCTCAGCTTATCAACTTTGTTTTCTCTGCTACATTATAAAATTATTTTATTTTAAATGTAAAAGTACTATTCTATAATAATACCTGAGTACACTGTCCTTGAGATCCAGTACGGCCAAGTAGTTTTGTAACCTAAGGCAATTAATAAATTGTTAAATAAATTATAAACTAAAAAAACCAACAACATAAAAATATGCTCATACTGCTATAGGGTAAAAAGACTTACTTTAGCTAACTTTGGCTTATCATTACTATTCATGATGTATTAAGGTAACGTCCGTTGAAGCGACAGTTACAATGTTAAAAAGAACTCATGTTTAGCATGGACGACCCAAAAACGCTAGCTAATAAATTTACAGTCTTAAAAAAACTATTGTTAAATCTATGAAAAATATTTTAAGTTTATATAAAATATAAATTTATATAAATTACAAAAAAAAAAAGCATATTTAAATTTGAAATAATTATTAATATTTTATTTAAAATAATATATATATTTTTTGTAATTGGTTTTAAGTCAATAATTTTGAGAGTTTAGTTTTAGACGGTCCGCCAAATAAAAAAGCATTTCTATCCAAACCGAATTTTAAATATTTTGGTATCAAAATAAAAACTAGACCAAACATTAGATCATGTTATAACAAATTTAGTACAATATAATAAGCTTTTTTACGGATAAAACTATACCTTAAATTAGTGAAAGTATTAGGTACTAGTGTAAACATAAGTTTTATTCTAAAAATAAGCTATAATTTTATTATTAAATATCGTCATTATTTTACAAAGCAGGAGAACATTTTATTTTTTCTCAATAATAACAAAATCTGTTTGCTTAAATTATTAATTTTTTTATAGAAATTTTATTTTAATGTACACTTCTAATATATTATTCTATTTAATTTTATTTTTGTAATTGTTTAAATATAAATGTATTTTAAATTCATTTTATTTTGTATTATTTCGATATTTTAAATAAGAACTTAGATTAAGATTACCCCTGTCAGTCCGAAAAACAACCTAAAAAAAATGGAAGATATTGCTCGGTTAAGCGATGGCCCCTACGATAAAATGGGTGCTCAATGGTTAAAAGAATTCGATGATCATCCTGGAGATAATATTATTGAAAAAGCTATTTCTTTTGGTGAAAGAGGTCTTTTTATTGGTAAATATTTTTTTTTACAACAAAGTGTTACCAGATTATTACATAAATTATACAAAAACATCTAAAATCATTATCTTTCAAACTACTTAAAGAAAGGCTAATTATTGATATCAATTTAAATTATTTTAATTATAAAAATTAACAAAATTATTGAATTATAGCAGGTTAAAAATTTTTGACTTTGATACAATTTTTGTTCAGATAAACTTTGAATGATATTAGGTTGAAATGTTTTAAAATTTTTTTTGGACAAGTACTTAGGTTCAACAATGACAACATTGTATATATATATATATATATGGCGCTACTCGACTTTCTCCCCCCCCCTGTTTTTATGATTGATTTTTATAGAGTATATTATACTGATTCTAAATCATATAAAAACATAGGCCTGAAAACTTGAGGAAAGTACTCTAAACTGATGTTAAAGAATAAAAATCCACATTAAAAAACGCTAATATTCCACCATCTTTTTAAAAACATTTTAACACTGTTATTAAAATTTAGGTAATTAATTTTTTAACTAACGACCCGGTTTTTATTGTTGTTTTTATATTTTATGATGTACATACATCGACTGACATATAGGAATTGGCGCAACTAAATGTACATGTATCGACTGTCAAATAGGAATTGGCGCGATTAAATATACATACATCGACTGACAAATAGGAATTGGCGTAAATAAATGTACATATCTACTGACAAATAGGAATTGGCGCAATTAAATGTACATGATTTTGGTCAGGGTTTGGTTGGGGCAGGAAATCAATAAAAAATGCGTTTTAAATTGAAGCGTCGATAGAAACCAGGGTTTTTCAAAGTTTTTATTCAAAAAGAATTTTATTATAACCGAGTATGACAAAGATGGCTAATATTAGCGTTTTTAATGTGGATTTTTATACTTTAACATCAAATTAGAGTACTTTCCTCAAGTTTTCAGACCTATGTTTTTATATGATTTAGAATCAGTATAATATACTCTATAAAAATCAATCATAAAAACGGGGGGGGGGGGGGAGAAAGTCGAGTAGCGCCTATATATATATATATATATATATATATATATATATATATATATATATATATATATATATATATATATATATATATATATATATATATATTTAAACAATCTTGAACCATCAAGTATATAAAATGCTTTATATACTGGATGATTCAGTCTTTTATAGCAAACCTAAGTCATCGAAAGCAGCCATAAACATACATACAGAATAAAAAATAAAAAAGGTGTAGTGAAGTACAATATAGAATTCATCTATATATATATATATGAAGACCACACAGGTAAAACCACAGATGTCACATTTTTCTCATTTTGAGAAAAATGAAATTTTGTGTTTAGAAGTATCAAATACCAGTTTATTTATAATCTATTCATTGCAAAGCATTTTTTTATGACATTATATTCTTAAAACAATATATAAAAGCAGTCTTTTCCCTAATTACAAGTAATATTTGTTCACAATGTCCATTTGAAGTCAAGACACTCAATTTGGACATCTGTGATTTTTCCGTTGTAAATTCAGCAGCTTGTAAACTACCTTAACTTGATAGCTTTTGGAGCACTTATTTGATTAAAAGTAGATAGGAGTAGATAATAAAATCAAATAACTCATCACATTTATAAAAACTTTTTAAAAAGTTATAGTATTATAATATTGAAATTCTATAGCCCAGATAAACACCCTGTTCCAAATGAAGCCTTATTAAAAATAAACGTTATTTTTATTTTCAACAAAATATATATATAAACATACAGAAATACATTTTTCTAAATAATTATTATTTTTTGCATTCTCCTACTCTGAGTCAGATATTTGCTCTGGTTCAGAATCCTGGACAAGTAGGTTATCAACTGGCAACTGATCATAGAAAGACTTGTTTTGTTCACTAACAAATTTTTTTAGCTTTAGTAAGTCTTTGAATTTTTCACAAGAAAGTGGCAATCGGTCTATATATGCTTGTTTCGGCTTATCAGGCACTTCAAAGACATGTTTAGATCGGGTCAATCTTTTCCCTCTTATTGAACGAGAACATGATTCAGACCTAAGGGATGTAACACGCATAAGACTAAACATACCGCTCCAGTTTTCCCTATACATAATTAGGTTAGAATGAGCCTTTGATATTTCAACTTCTCTGATGGGACGTGTCTTAAATGGACAAACAACTAAAAAGTATGGCTTTAAAAACTCTGTAAACTTCAAAAACTTTTCTTGCGCCATGTTTATAATGTTGAAAGGCTCTGGTATTTTTCGAGATGCCCGAAAAACATTCCTCCAATCTTCTGGTGTTTCTGCTGGAGACTTTTGATTAATAATAGCCATATCTCTGTCACATTCCATGTAGGAATGACCTCTAATAGGGTATGAAAGAGTTACGCTGTCAAATCTTTCTGCTTTATGAACTAGATAATAAAAGAAACGCAAAACTGTCCAGTTTTTATTTTGTCCTGCACAGGAATCACAAAACAATTTGATATGCTTTACATTTTCAGGTAAATGAAACGTAAAAAAATCATGAAGCATAGAACATACATCATCTGAGCCTTTGTTGCCAATGGTTTCATCATAGCAATAAAAATATACTTTTTGAGAAGAAAGAATATGAATGTTGAAAGAGTAAAATGACAGTTGCCTGGAATAGTATACATCTTGAGTTGAAATGTTTGGGCATTTCAGATTTTTTTGAAAATCAAAGCAGATTGCTGAACATTCCAAAGTTTGCTGAGCTTGTAAACGTGCAATTCTTTTTCTTTGGTAAAACATTTCAGCCTTTCTCTGATGAAGTTCAAGAGATACATTTAAAGCATTTTTCTTATATAACAAATCATTTGCAGCAACAGAGTCACTAGGTACTTGACAATCTATTGCAGTTATCTTTTTCTTTGTTAAATCACAAAATGAGCAAGTGTCTTTTCGAGGATATCCAAATGAAATGTTAAACTTTGAATTAAAAATTTTACGATAACTTTCGTAGGAACACTTTTCTAAAGGATACTTTTCTTTAAACATGCAGTACATTTTTAAAATATTTAAGTCTTCTGGAAGGTAAAGTCTGGTAGATTTTGTTCGAGCATAATGAGAAGATTGTCCTCGAAATGATTTGATATGGTTCACTATCATATTAGTGTTTTCAGCAGAAAAAGCATGCTTTCTGTTTTTATGACGTCCTCTCATGTCTTTACGAGGTAGACCTAATAATTGAAAAGAAAATCATGACAAGACAAAGTTTGTGTCACAAAAATCTAAATAAAAACATCTTATTATTTTATTACCCTATTGTTTGTAAAGATATATATATATATATATATATATATATATATATATATATATATATATATATATATATATATATATATATATATACATAAATATAATTTTTTTTGTACATACCTGTGACTGAAAAAAATTCTTTGATTCGTCTTACACGATTTTCTGTCAAACCAAGCATAGATATGAATGCTTTGATACACACACAAATTTTTGTGGAACTCGTATCTCTAACAATGTTCAAGTGGTACTTATATGAATAACTATGAAATTTAGATTGTTTTATTATTAAATTTCTGCTTCGTCGACGCTTAATGCCATGAACAGAAATAAGTGAAGAAATATACAAATCCTGCTCATCCTTTGTTTTCAAGTTGTTGAAATATGATATAACTTTTATTCTGTCATCTTCGGTTGTAACTTCAAAACACTTCAAACTAACACAGTTGCATGGTTTTCCTATAACATGACTTTTTAATTTCAGATCTCGAGTAAAATCTCTTTTTCTTCCATTTATTGCTTTTTTCTTAGGTTTTTTTGTGACATTAGGGTTGTTCAGATTAGCCGCCGCCATATTTTTTTAAAGAAAAACGTTGGTCACGTGATTTATTGCTTTATTACTATTGGCTTAATTATAAATAACTGGGACTAATGCGTTTTTTACCAAGTAAACATTGGACAACAGTGGTTGTTTCAAAGTTGCCCTTTTTTTAAAAGGGCCATAGAACCTTAAAACATAGTTTTTTTGTTATGAATTTTAAAATTAAAATAGCTTAGTACTAGAATATCATAAAAATATCTCTAACTCAAAATTTTCAAAAAGTGGACATCTGTGGTTTTACCCGTGTGGTCTTCATATATATATATATATATATATATATATATATATATATATATATATATATATATATATATATATATATATATATATATATATATATATATATATATATATATATATATATATTAAATAACTCTTTCATACATTTTTTATATAGGTACGTGACATAAAATGTTTAAATTGATCAAACACTAGATTGTTATATATCATTGGAAAGGTCTTCAATTCAGTGTTTTAAAGGTCAAAAAGTTATCAGAATTGAACAATTCTATAAAAAGTTATGGTATTTTAAGTGCTGGTTTTTTTAATATATAGATTTCTTAAAGAAACTGTGATCAAGTTTGAAATCTCTCTTAACTTAAATTGTCATAACATTGTCAATTCTTATCAAAATACATACAACTTGGTATCAAAAGAAAAGTCTTACAAAGGGCAATATCTTTATACAAAATATGTATAAAGGGCGCTAGAGGGGCGTCTAAAAAATGCTTTAATATGTTAAAAAATGTTGATTTTTGTAAAGAAAATATCAAAATTTTATTGAAATTTAAAATTTTATTAGTATTTTTTAATATATTCTAACAGGTTACTATCTATATAATTTAGATACTTTAGGTTAATAGGCTTTTGAGTGCAACCTCTATAGCTGTAGCTGCACTATCTAACCTAATGTCAAGGTCATTATTTTGTATTTTCATTTCTAAATGAATACATTTTAACATCAAAAAAAAGAAAGAATTTCAGGGATAGACGCGCAAATAAGGCCCAAAAGAATATTATTTTGAAGCTCTCCACCCCTTACGCCTAGGGTATGGTGGATTAAAACTCAAATAATATCTTTTTGTAAAAATAAATATTATTTATATAAAACACAAATTTTACATAAAAAAAAAACAAACTTAAAAAAAATAGCTATATACAAAAATATACTTATTACTAATTATATGCGCTTATTATTAAGTATATGTATAGTTGTTGAAAACATCACCATTCCTGATTTATCTGCCATCCCTTCTGCCACCAGGAGGTTTGTATTTAAAATGAAGCAGATCTTTACTTCCATTCTGGGCCCATATACGGAAGGCCCTTTTTGATTTAGGCCCATGTTGGCTTTGGCGTCAAACCAAAAAATCACCTAATAGACAAGCCTATGTTTTATAAAAAAAAAAAAATTTTATTTTCAAAAATAAAAATAAAAAAATAAATAAAACAAAACAGTTAAAGAATTACCAAGAAAGTCTTGGTTTCCACTCTTGGCGCCAGTTGGCAGTGATGATATTGAAAAAACTAGTAGAATTTAAATAAATTGAATAAAAAATCATAAAAATATAATTTATTGATCTGTAAATTTATTTTATAAAACAAACAAATAAAATACCGGACTGCAGTAAATGCTCTCCAGCAGCTAATTTAATAAAAAGTATAAATATATTTCACCTCAATTAGCAATTTATTGTTCAAATTAAGTCAACATTTATTAAAACAATAAAAATCCTACCAAGAATTTCCTTTCTTTTAGCTGATTATAAAAAGTTTTGTAATTATTTTTGTTTAGTATAAATTCATTAAACAAAAAAAAGTTACAAAATTATTTAAATACATCTACCAAGCTCCTCTCTTTTGCGAGCTAAAAAATACAAATTTAAAAAAATATATAGGCAATATTACAGCATTTAGTTAAAAACTAATTAGCTAATTCTAAAATTAAAATGAAATATTTATACCAATCTGCTGCTTTATTGTCGCTAAAATAAAAGTAAATTCAAAAGAGTCAATATTTTTTATCATTAAATATTAGAAGGAAAAAAAAAAAGGGAAAATCAAAGACTAATACCTTTTCCAATTCTTTTTTTGCTAAATACAGATCAACTATTTTAATACACTGTATAACAGCAAATTTTTTCATACAAAGTTAAAACAGATTTTATATCTTAAAATATACCTATTTCATTCTCTTCTTCTTCTAAATATAAAAAGTATAATTTAAACTTGTTGATTTCAAATGAAGCAATTTCTCAGTACAAATATAAGATTGAAAAATAAAGAAAAGATGAAGAAAATTAGCAATAACCTATTTACAATAATCAACAGTTTATATTGAAAATAAAACATCTTCTAACTGTATTATTTTATCACGTTTTATTATTACCATTAAAAACTTTATAAAATAACAAAATGGCATATAAAAAACAAAATGGCAAGATTGCTTTTAATATATATATATATATATATATATATATATATATATATATATATATATATATATATATATATATATATATATATATATATATATATATATGTATATATATATATATATATATATAGAGTTGCAAAAAAACGCGTTTTTTTCCTTTGGCGTTTTTTTGGGTCAAAAAAACGTGTTTTTTTGGTTTTTTTTGGCGTTTTTTTTGGTTTTTTTGGTGTTTTTTTGGTTTTTTTGGTGTTGTATTGCTTTTTTTAAACAATTTTTCAGTTTTTTTTTACATAAATTTTGGACTAGTTTTCCTTTAATCTAGTATAGATTTTAGTATTTGGCCATTAAAGGCACAATTAGATGTATAAACACCAGTTTAACAAAAAAATTTTATAAAAAATTTAAATTAGCTTTAAGTTAGTTATATATTTAGGTATACTGTATGAAAATGTTTATTTTCTGTTTTGTTGTACTAACAACTGTGATACTCTCATTATATATAAAAACTATTCTTATTCTATAAAAAAGTTACCATTTTAGTCTTGATAATGTAAATACATTAATGTATTTACATTATCAAATTTGATATCAGACTTCGAATGCTCAAAAAAATAAGCTATCTATCAAGATTATTAACTTAATTAAGCATTTGTATATTATGTAGTAAATAAGTCTTACATTGTTTGTTTGTTATATCAAAAAAAGAATTATTGCTAGTATGCCCATTAAAAAAAAGCCCTATACTGAACTTAGTTTCAAGGAAAATTTAAAAACTTTTTAATTATTATTATTTAGAGAGTTTCCCAGACCCCATTCACCTGATGATTCGTAATTTATTTATTTGTAATTAATTTTTTAACAGCATTTTTTTTTTTCTAATTACATTTATTCATCTAAATATTTTCATATAGCACTATATCAGAACACTTGCAAAATTCTTTAATATGCTCTGTTTTTCAATTCAATTTTTAGACATAATCTTAAGGCAAAAGAATTGTTTATCTTTTTCCATTTTACTAATTTGGTTCAGAGGTTTAATGGGTGACTAAGGCTTTATTTCTGCCCCCTGTATGGAGAGCCTAATCATAATTCTTTTTGTTCTTCCTGTTGATTACCAACAAGAAAAAAAAATTTACTTAATAATTTAAAGATCTCTTTATATATATATATATATATATATATATATATATATATATATATATATATATATATATATATATATATATATATATATATATATATATATATATATATATATATATATATGTATATATGTATACATATATATATATATATATATATATATATATATATATATATATATATATATATATATATATATATATATATATATATATATATATATATATATATATATATATATATATATATATATATATATATATATATGTATATATAGATATTATGGTGCTTTAAAAATCACTACTCAGTGTTAAAGTATTTTTTGTATTAATCTATTTTTTGTCAGTATTTTTTGTGTTAATCTATTTTTAGATTCTAATTCAGAAAAGATTTATATAAAATTTCTCTTTATTTGAGTAATAAGTTGACTTTTTTAATGTAAACATTTTAGAGACCATTTAAACAATATTAGGGACCTGTTGAATAGAAATTGAGCTTAAGTATGAACTAAATATTAAACAATTAAACTTAAATTAGACTTGAAATTTCAAATTGTGTATCTGGGATTATTAAATCATTTCTTTCTAACTGCTTTATTATAATCATCGTCAAATGCCTACTTATTTATTTCTAGTAACTTCTGGGGTTAATCTCAAGGTTCTATTCTTGGTCCTGTTTTGTTTCTTATCTACATTATTGATCTTCCTGACAACCCTACATCTATAGTAGCTCTTTTTGCTGATGACTCAAGTTTTTGCTCCTGTCTTGACAAAAAGTCTTCTCTTTTTGATCACTTAGAATAGGCAGCCAATTTTGTATCTGATCTTACTTCTGTAACAGATTGGGGCTCACATATTTTAGCTTATAAATGTTATTTCTAACTAAACTCAGTTATTTACTGCAAACAACTACCACAATACTGTTGACATTCCTATATTAATTAATGGTAACCCTCTTACTGAGTCTTCTTTTTTACATCTTCTTGGAATATTATTTGCTACTAACCTTTCATGTACACAAAATATATACTATTGATTGCTAAATTAGCATCCTTTTATCATTATCGTCGTTTTCTTACCCTTGATTCCATTCTCTACCTCTACAAATATCTTTTTGTCCCTGTATAGAATGTTGTTGTCATATTTGGGCTGGTTCTTCTTATGATTCCCGTTTTCTTCTAAACAAGCTCTATCTGCTAAGCTTGCGCCTCTTTCCCATTGTCGTAAAGTTGCATCTCTATCACTTTTCTACAAATTCTATCATGGCGGCTTCTCAAAATAGTTATTACCTCTAGTTCCATTAACAAAAACTCATTCTCGACTCTTTATTATGCTAAGTCTCATTCATTAGTTGTTAAATTTTATTAAATATAATAAATGTAAATAAATGTTTATTGTGTCAATATACACTAAAAACAGTAAAGATAAAGTTGAGGAAGATAAAATTATCAAAGAAGTTTTTATACAAGACACCTTTAACCGTGTTAATATACCAAAACAAAAATTAATTCAGTAAATTTCAGTATTTATTGTCCTATTTAAATCAGAAATTAAAATATTGCC